CGCGATTTCTGCATGGCCTCAGCGAGCTGGGCTGGGGGGTGCTGGAACCGACAGCCACAGGGGCGCCCGGGGGATGGCGCCTGGAAGATGAGTCCTGGGGGGCCGGCGCCCTGCCTTTCTGCTGCCCGCCCGCCTTCAGCCTGCGCTACCCAGAAGGTCACCAGGGCGGCCTGCTGGCAATTGCTCCTCGGGGGCTATTTTTAGGGCCCCCGGCTCCAGTTTCGAGGGAGCTGTGGAGGGAGGGGGCAGCAGAGGAGGGGACTTGAACTCCACTCCGCTCCTTCCCTCCCTCCAGGTGCCCCCAGACCCTCACCAAGTTTAACCGAGTCCCAGCCTCCTCCCCCATGGTGTGTCTGCGCCCAAGCCCACTCGGAGGAGTCGGGTTACCCTTGGGCTCGATCCCATTTCCCTTCCTCCCTCCCCGCAGGCCCCAGATTCCCAGCTGGGAGAGGGACAGGAGGTCTTGGGTGAAGTGTCTGAGCGGCAGATGGGAAGGAAGGCCCGGCGAAGGGGAGCGACAGCCAGACAAGAGGGAGCAGAGGCCTCCGCAGCCTCCATGACCGTGTGGTAAACAGCAAGACCAGGAGCAGGGAGTAGGGTGGATTCTGGCTCCCAGCGGGTCCTGCCTGCGCTCGCTGGGTGACATCAAGCCTCTCTCAACCTCCAAGTCCTCATCTGTAAAAATGGGTAGTTGAACAGGTTTGCAATAGGCAGAGAGGAGAAGGAAGGAACAGCATGGCCGAAATCAGAACATGATGAAAGCAGATGATGTGTTCTAGGAATCAGAGGAGTTTGGAAGGACTGAACTGCAGTGGGGAGGGTGAGTGGAGGTGGGAAGTGGGGCCTGACCCAGGGAGCTTTGCTTGCTAAAGTCAGTCTCCTGATGACAGTTGGGTGCCACTGCCGGGTGCTAAGCAGCAGGATAACATGGCCAGAGCTGTGTTGTAGAAGAATCCCTCCGGCAGCCACAGTGTGGAGGGTGGATTGGAGGTGGGAGAGTTGGAGGCCAGTTAGAGCAGTGGTTCTCAAAATAGGCACCTGTACAAAGTACAGAGAATCAAGCTCCACCCCCAGAGATGCGGGTTCAGTAGGCAGTGCTGGGAAGGTCCGGAGTCTGCACATTTAACTAGTGTCCCAGGTGACTGATGCATCTAAGGGTTGCACTTTGAGAAACATCAAGATAGGACATAACCGCTTTTATGTTTTATTTATTTATTTATCATTTTAAAATTCCTGCTGGCAAATTCTTTTTTAAATATTTTTTATTTCTTTTTAGAGAGAGAGGAAGGGAAAGGAGGAAGAGAGAGAGACTGATCGGCTGACTCCTACACACCCCATACCTGGGACCCAGCCCAAAATCCACATGCCTCTGACCAGGAATCGAACCTGCAACCTCTTGGTGCACCAGATGATGCCCTTCAAACTAAGCCACACTGGCCAGGGTGGGACATAACTGCTTTTAAAAGTCCGACTGAGACTTTTGTGCTGGAACAGTTTTGTATCTTGACTGTGGTGGTGGTCACATGGGTCTACACATGATAAAGTTGCATAGAACTAAATGCATGCACATGTGTGCATGCACATGCACACATATACACAAATCATATATATAAACCTGGCAAAATCTGAAGAAGGTGGGTGAACTATATCAATGGCAATTTCCTGTTCTGATCATGTATTATAGTTATGCAAGATGTTACCATTGGGGGAAACCAGATGAAGGGCATACAGGTTATCTCTGTATTGTTTTTCTGTGTTGTAACCACATGTGAGTTTACAATGATCTCAAAATAAAAAATATTTTTTAAAGTCCAGGTGAGGGGCCCAGGTCTGACCTTGAGCCCTGAGGGATAAGCCTGGGAAGGCAGAGAGGAGCCACAGGAGGAGCCCTGAGTCATTTGCAGATGGAGAAAAGTACTCTCAGTGTCGCCCCCTTACCCCACGTCTTCATTCTGGGAGACCAAAGTCAAAGTGTGCTTGTGTGTGTGTTCATGGACAGGGGAAAGAAGAAACAATTTAAATAGTGAATTTTGTCCATAGAGATTAAAAGCCTTGAGGAATGAAAATTTTGTTGTTTGCATACATTAAAGCTTACTCTTTGTACTGTGCAGTTCTCGGGTTTTAAAAAATGCAGAGAATCATGTATCCACTACCCCAGGACCTTACAAAACAGTCTGATCATCCTAAATATTTGCCTGAGCATCCCCTTTGTAGTCAAACATGCCCTCTGCATGCAACCACTGATGATAAATTGAATTTTTAACTGTAAACTGAATTGTTAAAATGTAGAGGCAAGACATTGCAAGCAGTTGGAACATCAAGAACAAAGGACTAGAAACTGTTTTTCAAAACCAATAACCCAAAGCCACCTAGCACTGTGCCTCAATGATTTGTGTAGAATGCAGTAGATGGTCTGTAAATGTTGGCTGGTTGGTTGGTTGATTAGTTGGTTGAATCATGAACTGTGTGATCTTGACATCTCTAAGCCCCAGTTTACTCATCTATAAAATGGGGGTGATCCAACTCAGGGTTTATTCATTCATTCAACAAATTCTTGAGTTCCTACTATGTGCCTGGCACAGTTCTAAGCACTAGGAGTATAGCAGTGAACAAAGCAGACAAGTATTCCTGCCCCTGTGTTGCTTATATTTGTTGCTTATTTCTTCTTTATAAAGAAACTAGAGGCCTGATGCATGAAATTCATACAAGAGTAGGCCTTCCTTCCCCCGGCTGCCAGCACCAGCTTCCCTACAGCACCTGGGGGAAGGAATGAAGAGTGACAGCCTTCATCCTGTTCCCTTGCAGCCCCCCGTGTTGTCAGGTCTAATTAGCATATTATGCTTTTATTATTGTAGATAATAAAGATTTTTAGAAGAAGATAAGTGCTGTGGAAAAATGGAACAGGGTATGGAGATAGGAATGTGGTAGGGTGGTTAGAGCTCGATGATTGCTCATCAAGGCATTGGAGCAAGGCTGGGGAGGGATTTCATCAGTGTGGGGATCATTGCCTTTGAGGTCTGACTCTGAGTCTAGGATTCCTACTCCTGGGTGAGGAAGCAAATGGCACAGATATCCAGGTAGGACTGCTCCAAGCAGAGGTGGCCTCCAAGAGGAGCCAGGAGACCAGTGGGGCTGAACAGAGACATGAGGTCAGACAGCCTAGCACCTTGTAGGCCATGGCACTTTTATTCCTAGTGAACCAGAAAGTTATCTCAGAGAATTTTGAGCCAAGGAATTACATGATCTGACTTAGGTTGTTGTGATGGCTTTAAATTATTATATTAAATATTAACATGAATATTAACTATTTATAAAGGGCCTGGCACAGAGCCTGGAACATGGCTTGTGTGTCTCCTGTTCGAATAGTCACAATATGGGCATGCATTGATGCACAAGCAGGGGTGTGTGGGCCTGGGTAGGGAAGGCACTGACCTGTTCCAGTTGCTGGCGCCCTCTCCTGGAGCAGCCTGCACTAGCTGTGACAGCAAGAAGCCATCATTCTGGCCAGGCCTGTCACCCAGGGCAGCTGTCTGCAAGGTGCTCATCTGTCCCCCAGAATGGGCCCCACAGTGCCCTGCGGCCTGGCGCCAGGCTGGGTGTGTGCTGCCAGTCTGCCCTGACTAGCAATCACAAGCCTATGGTGTCATGGAAAGAGATCTGGGCTCCGGAGGCCAAGGAACCTGGGGCCTGGTCCTCCTCTGCTACGGATATGGGCAGTTCACCCCACCTCTCTGGGCAGTGGGGAGCTTCCTCTTACTCATAATGATATACCACGTGCCCGGAACATGGTAAAGGCTCAGTAAATGTTGGTTGAATCAGTGAATGAAGGGGGGGCCATGGGCCTTTCTGATAAATATTTAATTTAGAGCAGCAGTTCTCAACTTATGGGTTGCGACCCCTTTGGGGGTCGAACGACCCTTTCACAGGGGTCACCTAAATACATCCTGCATATCAGATATTTACATTATGATTCATAACAGTAGCAAAATTACAGTTATGAAGTAGCAACGAAAATAATTTTATGGTTGGGGGTCACCACAACATGAGGAACTGTATTAAAGGGTCGCAGCATTAGGAAGGTTGAGAATCACTGATTTAGAGAAAAGCAAATAAAAGTGCCCAGTGGGTATTCATTCAACAAGTACTTAAATATTTAATGAGCACCTTCTATGGACCAAGCACTCTTATGGGCACCAAGGATACAGTTAGTGAATAAAAACCTTGCCCTTGGGTAGCTGACATGTTAGGTGTTGAACCAAAGGTCACGGATGTATTTGCATATGTGTCCGGGGCAAGCTCGTGGTGAGAGGAGGACGAGAAAGCGGTGAATGGGTGTGATGCATTGTCTCAAGGGCCTGGGAGGGTAGCCAGAGTGGACAGACAGGGTCAGAGAGTGCCCACTGCGGCCTCAGTTCCTGGCTTAGGGATATATTTGCCTCCACAGTCCCTCCTACTCCTCCAGTTGGTCTGGAACTGGTCCCATGGCTCTAGTGGGAAGCTGTCAGTCTTCTGTGAGCCCTCTTATTTCTCAGTGTTCAGAGTCTTGAAGGAGGAGATGCCAAGTGCCCCCAGCATGAGACCCAGATCTTCTTTGGTTTATTTTTGTCCATTCTCTAGGAGCACCGCACCTGTCTCCCCAACCCCTAACTTCCTTGGGTCACTGTCCAGCTCCCAAGGAGGCAGACAAAGCCGAGGGCTCAGAACCAGAATTACTAGTCCCAGGAGGACTCTGCTCAGAGAATGCATCCCTACTGTGGGACACAGGGTGGGTCTGGGTCTCTTCTCTTCTCTTCTCTTCTCTGAGTACAAGTGTGTGGTCATCACAGGACACAGATGTGTGCTGAGAAGGATGTGTGCAGAGCTGTCCCAGCTGGAAGGGGCCACCATGGAGGCAGGGAGTTCTCTGACACAGAGACTTCCAAGCAGAGCTCGATGATTGCTCATCAAGGCATTGGAGCAAGGCTGGGGAGGGATTTCATCAGTGTGGGGATCATTGCCTTTGAGGTCTGACTCTGAGTCTAGGATTCCTACTCTCCCTCCACCGTGGTGACTAATGCACATCTAAGCTTTTCTTTGGAGAATGGGGCTGCCTCTCAGTCCTTCCCTGACCTATGTGGCCCTTTGTGCTTTGATGGGTAGATGAATGCACATAACTCATTCAAGAGAAAGAAGGAACCTAGAGGATCCAGAAAGTACTCACAGATCCATACATCACCTCTCATCCACCGGGGCCCAGTCTCCCCCAGGTGTTTCTCTCACAGAGACTAGCTTAGATTTCAGGGTCCCTAGCAGGCTCAAGGATAAGAACCCTCACCGATCCCTCCTCCTCTATTCCAGCATGAAGACCCTAGAAATGCCATTTCTAATTTCACTTGGAGCTCTGCTACAGGTTGATAGAGGTAATTCTGGGGCCTGCAGGGTTCACCCCATTGGAGCACTGGGGGAAAGCAGTGACCATGAGTTGATAGTGGACAGTGGCCGAGGGTGGCGGCCAGGTTGCAGCCCCAGATGTTCCTAGTGCAAAGGTGAAGAAACACCAAGAAGCCTTGTGTACTGGAAGGTTGCTGGTTCAATTCCAATCAGGGGACATACCCAGGTTGTGAGTTCCATCCCTGGTTGGGGAGAGTATGAAAGGCAGCCGATCAATGTTTCTCTCTCACGTTGATGTTAATCTCTCTCCCTCTCCCTTCCTTCCTCTTTCTAGCATGTCCTCAGGTGAAGATTAAAAAAAAAAAAAGCCTTAGCTGGTTTGGCTTAGTAGATAGAGCGTCTGCCTGCGGACTGAAGGTTCCCGGGTTTGATTCCAGTCAAGGGCACATGCCTGGGTTTCAGGCTCAATCCCCAGGAGGGGGTGTGCAGGAGGCAGCTGATCAATGATTCTCTCTCATCATTGATGTTTCTGTCTCTTTCTCCCTCTCCCTGCCTCTATGAAATCAATAAAAATACTTTTCAAAAAAGGGGGAAAGGGGCCTTCATAGAGGGAGGGACTACACAGCCCAGAGGGGAAGGAGCAAGTTGTGAGGGAGGAGTGCATCCAAAGAAGGGAAAAAGACACCAGAAAGGCTTTTGGAAGTTTCTGGAAAAAAACACTTAGGAACATCAGATTAGGCAGTTTAAGACTAAAACCCCATTAGGTTTATTTCCCCTACAGACCATCTGAATTCATTGTTTGTGATCTCTACCCTCTTCCCATCTCTAAAGGCTAATCTCTCATCTGTGAGGGGTGTCAGGAAGGCCGAGACCCACATGGATCCATCAAGCTTCCTAAATCATTGATCCACCTGGAATTTATTTTTTGGAAGGAATGAAGAGTGACAGCCTTCATCCTGTCCCCTGTGGCTACCCAATTGCCCCTGCGCTACCCATCAGTGTAAATGTTTTGTTCCACAATTTCCTAATGTTCTTTTCATATGACCTATGTTCCTCTCCCATCTTCCCAAATTCTCCCCAAATTTCCCTTTAGTGTTTTAATTGAGGTAGCACTGCATTAAAATGATAAGTTAATGGAGGATGAATGGACAGCTTTAGAGTATTGGGTCTTCTTCTCCAAGAACAAGATAAAGCTTTTCATTTTCCTTAACATGGTTGTTTTTCCTGAATTGGCTCTTGTGCATAAAGGCGCTCAGGCAGGTGTCATGGAAAGGTGTGAGTTTCTTTGGGGAAGGAACCGGGGAGGAGCCCTACTTCAGAGCCAGTCTGTGGGGAACCGTGGTGACCTTCAAAAAGAGCAGCAGTGGTGTCCCTGGGCCCTGATGATCTGAAGGGGGTAGGAGGCCCAAGGGAGGCAGTCCCAGAATTGGGCCCTAAGAGGAGGGATTTGTGGTTCCCCAACAAATGCTCTGTCCAGCTCCCGCCCCCATATGTTACACACAAACAACAAGGCAGGGAGGCTCTGGGAGCAGAAGAGGTGACAGGCCCTGGGGGACAGCCTGGCTGGGCAGGAAGGCAGCACAGTCCAACAGGGCCCGGGGGCTCCTAGAGGAGACCTGGCAGTCAAAACAACAGGGGACGTGCTAGGCTTGTGCTTCTCTTTTTATTGTTTCTGTCCAGCCCCTGCAGTGGGGGAGGGGCAGGCACAGGGAGGTGGGCGCCCTGCCACCTTGCCTGAGACCGCTCTGCCTCTGTCCTCTCCTTTCCTCTCAGCATCTCGCCCACCCTCACTCCTTCTGAATCTCCTGCTCCCACATCTGGCACCTTCGGGGGTTCCCTCTTGCAGCCCCTGCTTGCTAAGCCTACCCTGGGAACATAAGGGACTATGGAGCTAATTTAGTGCCCCCCAGTCTCCACAGGGACCAATCCCCCAGTTGCCTGCCGGGCTTACTGAGGAGGCCCTTTCTTTCTCTGACCTGGGCTGGGGAGTGGAGAGGTCCACCCCATGGGTCCCAACACCCTGCTGGGGTGAGGGGCCCTCTCCAAAGCCAGAGGCTAGAGCCTGAGGTCACAGAGGTGGGAGGGGCAGGGTCACTGCTCTGCTTTGGCTCCATTCAGGCCCTGCCCAGCACACCCATGGGCGGCCAAGAGCCAGGCTCGCTCACGTCCAACATCCAGGACTCACACTGCTGGGGGCTCCCTGTGCCGGGCAGGGATGGGCCATGTCCCCTGTGGGGACCATGAGGGGGGTTGGTGAGCAAGGGTCAGAGGCTGTGAGGGGAGACGGTGGCTGGGTGTGGTGCCCTTCGATGGAAGGAGGCTGGCTTCGGGAGGCAGTGAGGACAGGGGCAAGGACGGTCTCTGGTGGCAGAGGGGTCTCTGGCTTTAAAGCACCTCGTGCTGCTGCTGTGTGGCCTCGCTGACGACCTGGGGAGGAAGAGAAACACAGTCCAATCCAGTGCTGGCAGGAGAATGGAGCCCAGGCCAGTCGCCCAGCCCCCATTCCAGAACAGCAGGAACCCCTCTCCCCGCAGACAGGGACTCAAACAAGCACAGCTGGCAGAAAGCACCTGGCTGACAGCTTCCCAGACACACCCCATGGCCCCCACCAGTAAGGGGACCAGGCAGACTCACCTCCCCGTCACGAGTCTCAATGGTCTTGATCATCACTGTCTTCTTGGTATGGACTTCGGAACCCCTTTGTTCAGGGCTTGTTTCTGTAACAGATCCATCCACATGCTCAGCCTGACCGAGTTCAGACCAGGCTGCTCCAGGGGCTGGGAGTCCGCCCCTGGTCCCACGGGGCAGAGAGAAGACTCCCACCCCTTCTGTATGGACCTGGTACTTTTTCAGCAGGACTTTTATCATTTGTCCTTGAGCCCAGTGAGTGGCTCCGTGGACCCCAGGATTAGTCCCATGGTTGAGATGAGATTAGGAACCAACAAAAGTGCTCCAGATGTGAACTGGTTCAGGAGGGCAGGACCCCTGAGGCCCAGGCCACCCAGCACTTCCATTCCCCATACATCTTGCTCCCTCTCCACCCTTGGGCTGCAGGAGAGCCCTGCATGAATTTGTACCCTGACAGTTAGAACCCAAAACCCAGTCCCAAGATACTCTCTTGGAGGACCTCATGGTACCCAGCCCCCTTTAAGGCTCTGGATGAGTAACTTGATGTCTTAATGAAAGAGAGATGGACAGGAGTCGGTCACTGATTCATTGTGTTGGTGGCCAGTGACTTGTTCTCTGTGCCTCAGTTTCCTCATTGTGAAATGGTAACAATGATACTTGCCCTATCATGGCCACAGGACTATTAATTTCAAAAGCGTGAAGCAAGAAAAAAAAAAAAGCGTGAAGCAGTTTTAAATGTGAGGCTCACACTTGGTATCTGTATAAATGACTAACTAAAAAGAGAGGTTCTGAGTTTTATAGTAAGGGCCAAGTTTAGGTCCTCGGTACTAAGAGTTTGGTGTTGATGAATCTCCTTAGCGAGCAATCAGCCTGTGATGAACGTTGTAATGCCGTGGAGCCAGCACGTATTTTTCCCTGATGGAAATGAACATCGAAGATATAAAAGGTTTGATCTAGGAAAGGCAAAGCTGCCAAGGACTCCGACTTCCTTTCCTAATGTATCATTATATTGTGTTTTTCTGTTCTCCAGGGTTGGAAAGCCATGCAATCTGCATATTACTAATGGCAGAATGGCACAATGCCCTAGCAGCTACTTCTCATTGTTTGGCTTTGCTACGGTTTGGCTTCATTGTTATAAACCTGAATCCAACATTTTGTTCCAGCAAACTGGAGGTGTTCAACAAGCAGCAGAGAGGGTGGGGGTGAGAGAGGTGGCACTTGGCAATTTGCCAGACAATGGGTGGTTGGTGCCTTATAGCCAGGAAGTATGATCCTAGTTGTTTCTGCTGCCAGGCCCCTAAGGACACCCCTGGTTCCTTCAGAGTTTGGGTATATCAGGAAAAAGAAGCTGTTTGCTGATGCTCAATATTTTCAGAAGGTTCAGGGGACATGGTCAATACAATATCATCCTATATAATAAAAGCCCAGCCACCGAATGGCAGAACAACTAGAACAACTGGTCGACCAGTTGCTATGACGCACACTGACCACCAGGGGGCAGACGCTCAATGCAGGAGCTGCCCCCTGATGGTCAGTGCGCTACCACAGTGGGAGCGCCACTCGGCTGACTAGGATGGGCTGACCAGGATGAGCGGCTGCTCCTACTGCAAACCCCGGGCCCACAGGCAGGAACCCGGGCTGTGATAGTTGCCTCCTCCTCTTCCTCCTCGCTCCCTGCCACCTCCTCCAGATGCCCACAGGCTGCGGGGCTCGCAGAGCTGACCCAGGAGGTTGGAAGGCAGGTTCATGGCCGCTGTGGAACTGAGGCCTACTCCCCCGCCTCTCAGTGCTATTGTCCCTGGGCCTGCCCTGACCAGGTCCCCTGGAGAGGTAAGTGCTGCGGCTCCATGGAAGATGCCGGACTAGGTATCAGCCACTCAGAGGGTGGGTCCATGGCCGCTCCACTGACCAGGAGGAGCAGCAGCGCTCCCACTGCGGGCTGATCCCCGCAGGCCACACCCCCCACTAGTGCACTGGGCCTCTAGTGAGATAATAAAATGATCTCTTTGTCAGAAGATCCTCTACCTAACCCCCCTCCCCACCACTCCCCTACTCTGGCAGCAGCCCCCTTTCTCTTCTCCAAGCCCCAGTCCTGTCCCCACAGTTCCATCCTCCCCTCCTGGCTGGTCTTGAGCACTGCCCATGCTAGATTCCTGCCCCCCACCACCCAGGCCTCCACTTGCTAACATACACTCACCTCGAAAGTTGAGGGCAGAGAAGGTCTGGATAGGGAGGTTGATCCTGAAAGGAGAGAGATCAAATCCCAAAGGGTTAGGACCCTCTCTCTCTCCCTGTGACCACCTATCAAGTTTGCCCTGGTCCTCTCTAAACACCATCCTCAGCTGTCCCAGTCCCAGGGAACCCAGCCCTCCCACTGCCATACTGCTTAGGGGATAGGGTCAAAGGCCAACTTTAGCTGTCCCAGGAACTGTCCCTTCAGGAGGGATCACCCATTCCATCTCTGACTGCTGGTATGACACCAACACCCCCAATCCTGCTGCACTGTCCAGTTCACCAGGATTCCCTTCTTGCTCCTGACATGGCAGGAAGTATGGATAGCAGCTCAGGGGGACATCCATTGTGTGTGCCCTCCAGCCAGGGTGGGAACTTCTGGCCCATTCACATGTGAGGCCGAGTTCCAGGAAATGCCATTTAGCTACCTTAAAAGGTCATTATAGCCCTAGCTGGTTTGGCATAATGGATAGGGCGTCAGCCTGCAGACTGACGGGTCCCAGGTTCGATTCCAGGAAAGGGCACATGCCCGGGTTGTAGGCTCAATTCCCAGTGGGTGGCGTGCAAGAGGCAGCCAATCAATGGTTCTCTCTCATCATTGATGTTTCTATCTCTCTCTCCCTCTCCCTTCCTCTCTGAAATCAACAACAATTATATATTTTTAAAGTCATTATATATAGGTGTTACTCTACAAAACCTGAAATGTTTAAGTCTCCATCTAAACATGTCTGCTGATTTTTAAGAACTTCCAATATTATCATTTTTATGAGTATCAATGGACATCATTTTTTTTAGTTAATGACCTGTTTTAAATTGAAGTTAAGTTTACATACAGCGAAATGCACAGACCTTTAGTGTGCAATCCAGTGAGTTTTGATCAGTGTCTAACTGCAAGTCTAAATAAAGATATAGAACATTTCCTCCACCCCAGCAGGTGACCTCGTGTCCCCTTCCAATTGTGTGCTGTTTTCTGTGTCTAGAGGTGAATGAATTTACATGTCCGAGCTTGTCATTCTGGTTTTTTCCTATGAGCACGCATGTGCACATGTGCGCCCTCAGTGTACAAGTCTGCACCCTCTCTTCTAGCTTGTCTCTCCCTGTCTCTGTCTTTATCTGCCCCTCCCTTTCCTACCTCATCATTCCCCACTTTGCTCTCATCTCTCCCTTGACTGGCAGTAATATTTTATTACCGTTTGCTGAACATGGTTTTATGCTGCTGGTTCTTAATTCTGAAGGTAGCAGAGGGAATAGTTATATTTCTCTTTTTATAAAAGCTATTAATTAAATCACTTTTACTCAGGTGGCCTTGGTTAATTCTCTGCTATTAGTGGAGTGGTGGCCTCTTGTGTAATATTGTTTCCAGGTCTGTTGAGGTGATCCTGAGCCCCCACCGTGGCAGGAATGGGTGCCCTAGCATCCCCCAGAACCCCACTGCCAGCCCTGCCTTGCCCCTCACCGGCTCTCCTCGCCCTCCAGCAGCTTCCGGTAGGTGGCGATCTCCACATCCAGGGCCATCTTGACATTGAGCAGGTCTTGGTATTCTCGGAGGTGGCGGGCCATCTCATCCTTGAGGTGACGGATCTCTTCCTCTAAGCGAGCGATGCTGTCCTGGTAGCCGCTGGCCTCGCTAGTAAAGCGATCCTCCATCTCCCGCATCTGCCTCATCAGGGAATCATTCTGCAGGGGAGGGATGCCCAAGTCAAGGTCAGGTTGTTTTAAGAGGGGGGTCCAGGATAGGGGAAAGACAGCTTTGGGGCTTGGAGACACTCCAGATGGTCAAGCCCAGGAGTTGTCAAACTCTTCTGAGCCAGGGAACCCTGAACTCAAATGAAGTATTATGTGGACACTCAGACAATAGAACTGACAAAGGGCAGTATTGCTGTTCAGCCTCTGCACCCCCACACAGGAGCCTCATGATTTCCCGAGAGCCCAACTGGCAATCCACCTGTTCTTACCGCTGTGGTAGATTGGAGGGGACAGAGGCCCAGAGCGGGCATGTGATGGGCCTAAAGTCACAGAGTGAGGGGGGGAGCTATAGGTAGGAAGGGCTGGGCCAGGCAAGGTGAGCAGGGACTCACAGTGCCTTTGAGAGCATCGATCTCGCAGGTATAGGACTGGATCTGGTGCCGGTATTCCATCATCTCCTGCTTGGCCTGGCGCAGTGCATCATTGTTCTTGTTGGCTGCCTGGGTCAGGTCGGACACCTGAGGGCAGAGAGGGGCCCTGACATGAGGAGGATGCAGGATGCAGGTGGGGGTGGGCAAGGGAGCATAGAGACCCTGACTCACCCTCCTCCCCATGGATGGAGCCACAGGAAATACTTCCAAACTGGAATTGAGGGGGACGTAGGGGTCAGGCTGCCTACCTTCGACTTGTACCACTCCTCAGCTTCAGAGATGTTCTTAGCTGCAATGGTCTCATACTGGGCCCGGATGTCCCTGAGGGCAGCAGTGAGGTCCGGCTTGGTCATGTCCATCTCCACATGGACCTGCTGTTCTTGAAGCTGGGCCTGTAGCTCTCGGATCTCCTGCAGGGAGCATCTGGGCTTCAGTCCCCTACCAGGCACCCTCACACCCCCATTCCCAGGGCCCAGCACCACGATCCCCCCTTTCCACCTGCTTTCACCAGCATCTAAGGACCCTGAGGAGGAGGGCCCAGAGCATACCTCTTCGTGCACTTTCTTAAGGAATGCGATTTCCTCATTGAGAGATTCGATCCTGCGCTCCAGGTCAATTCGAGCTAGAGTGGCGGCATCCACATCCTGGGAGAGGTCAAGCAAGAGGGACAGGGTCACTGATCACCCAGGCAGGGCTGAGGGAAACCAGGGGCCACATGGGATGGGGGGGGGGGGGGCAGAGAGGTAAAGATCCCCAGTGATCAATGAGGGCTCACCGATCGGAAGGCAGCCAAGTTGTTCTCTGCTTCTTCTCTCAGTTGAATCTCCTCTTGCAGCCTGGTGGAGACAGACAGACAGACAGAAAGATAGGTAGTTGGTAGGGAATAAAACTGCCCAGGGCTGCCCAGAGAGTGGGCCGAGAACAGAGAAAGGAGGCCTGGCTGCTGGGTAGAAACAGGAGAGGCCCCACCCAATGGGGGAGGGGACAGGAAGTGGCCCAACCTCTGCCCTAGAGCCACACCCTGGAAGTCTGTGTCCCCATCAGATCGTGACCTCGCTGAGATTAGGAAGCCTGTCTATTTTATCCGCCTCTATGTCCCTGGTTCCTAGCCCCAGCTTGGCCCATGTAGGGGCTCGATTAATGTTTGTGACCTCGGTGGCAGGGTGGCGACTCTGCTCACTTGGGCTGTCAGAAACAGGACCCATGAACACGCGCTTATACTTGTTGCCCTTTCCTACTGGGAGCCCAGTGGAGCCCACCATCCGGTCCTCCCAGCTTTCTTGAGGGCCCCCACCCACTCTCCCTTTTCCTCTAGCCTATCTGTTCCCCTGTGAAATGGCACAGCCTCAGCTAGGCCCAGGGCACAGATCCCCACTCTACCCGCCTCCCCAGGGTCTCATCACAGATGAGCTGAGAGCTACCATTGGATTCCCCGCCCCCTCCCCTTCCCAGCTGGCCCCAGATTTCCTCCTCTCCTATCAAACCCCCTTTCCCTCTGACTGAACCGGGGCCCCTCCTCCCTCCACCTCCCATCTGCCCGCCTGACCGCCAGCCACATCACCCCATCATCTTAAGATGCTTTTTAAGAGGGCTGTCTACAGGGTCTTCCCAGGTTTCCCATTTCCGCCCCATGATGTCTCCAAGAAAACTCTTTTGCAGAGTGGAGCGCAGGAGAGAGACCTGGAGTGCCTCTCGCTCAGGGGACACAGGCAGATGACCTTCTCCCTGCAAGGCGCCCCGCCCGTGGGAAGGGGTTGGTGGGAGCACAGAGTTCTCACTTGGCCTTGAGCCGCTGCAGGTCGTCCAGCAGGTTGTCGCGCTCCAGGTCGACGCGGGAGCGCTGGTTGGTGAGCACCTCCACCTGGCGCCGCAGCTCGCGCAGCTCCTCCTCGTAGATCTCGGCGACCCGCGTG